CCCAAAGAATATAGGAACACTAATTTTTTTTTTAATTTTTTTTCAACGTTTATTTATTTTTTGGGACAGAGAGAGACAGAGCATGAATGGGGGAGGGGCAGAGAGAGAGGGAGACACAGAATCAGAAACAGGCTCCAGGCTCTGAGCCATCAGCCCAGAGCCCGACTCGGGACTCGAACTCACGGACCGCGAGATCGTGACCTGGCTGAAGTCGGACGCTTAACCGACTGCGCCACCCAGGCGCCCCATATAGGAACACTAATTTAAAGGGATGCATGCACCTCTATATTTATAGTAGCATTATTGACAGTATATAGTAATATTGGCATAGTAATATAGTAATAACGGAATATTATTCAGCCATAAAAAAGAATAAAATCTTGCCATTTTCAAGCATGTGGATGGAGCTAGAGAGTATTATGCTAAGTGAAATAAGTCAGAGGAGACAAATACAGTATGATTTCATTCATATGTGGAATTTGAGAAGCAAAACAAATGAGCAAAGGGAAAAAACAAGACAGAGTGGGAGACAAATGAAGAAACACACTTAATTATAGACAACATGTTGATGATTACCAGAGTGGGAGGTGGAGGAATGGGTTAAATTGGCGATGGGGTTCAAGGAGTGCACTTGTTGTGATGAGCACCAGATGATATATGAAATTGTGGAATCACTATACTGTACACCTGATACTAATATAACACTGTATGTTAACTAACTGGAATTAAAATAAAAATTTAGAAATACAAGAAACAAGTGAAAGCAAGGATGTGGAGAAAAAGAATCCTTGTGCACTATTGGTGAGAATGCAAACTGGTGCATCCACTGTGGAAAACAGTATGGAGTTTCCTCAAAACATTAAAAATAGTACTACCTTACGATCCAGTAATTGCACTACTGGGTATTTACCCCACAAATACATAACACTAATTCAAAAGGCTATATGCACTCATGTGTTTATTGCAGCATTATGTACAGTAGCCAAATTATTCCAAGTGTCCATAGATAGATGAATGTATAAAGAAGATATGGCATATATACATACATATATAATGGAATATCATTCAGCCATAAAAAGAATGACATCTTGCCATTTGCAACAACATGCATGGAGCTAGAGAGCGTAATGCTAAGTGAAATAAGCCAGTCAGAGAAAGACAAATACCATATGATTTCACTCATATGTGGAATTTAGGATATTCATGGTTTTAAATTGCAAAAGGAGTTTAGAAAATGCTGATAGAAGTTCAGAATGATGAGTATGATCCTATCTTTTTAATTCACACTTAGAGTGGAAAATACACCATATGTCACATTCACAGTCACAACTCCTTAATTTTTCACTTAGCAAGAACTAAAACTACTTCAGAGACCAGTAGAATATAAATGGCTGGGACCAGGAGTGTAGCTAAATGTGGCTTGGAAGCAGAATTCATGGATGGAAATGCTGGGGGATAAAAATGAAGATGGAAAGCCAGGTAGGGGCCAATTTGTGAAGGACTTGAAATCTGTGGAATCAGATTAGGATGTTATTTAGAGGTAAAATGTTTCCATTGAATGTTGGGTTTTTGTTATTAGATGGAGTGTTAGTAGAAGCTTCAACTCATGACAAACTGTGAGCTGGGTTTCAGAAAAATACATATCTCTTTTCTTTTATGACTGAAGAATAAAATTCTAGCCAGGCAACACCTGCTGAAACAAAGAACATGGAGCTCTCCTAGGGAAATGGAACGACCAAACTGAGGGATCCCATCAGATCTGATCTCAATTATACCTTTTTGGTAGCTCAAAGATGGTGCTGTTTTCCACACGATTCTCCTAAGATATAATCAGCACACAAACCACACACTTCTACCTTGCAGAACATGCATATTCAGTTGTATAAACATTGTTCTCTTTACCCCAGTTTGGCCAAATCCATGGTCCTGAACTGCCTGCTTTGCTACTGATAGAGAACATCTGAGATATAGAAAATTTCGGAGGTAATCGTCTGGCTTCCACATGTGAAGGTAGTGCTTTCTGAAGAAATCCCTGGGCACAAGATAACTAAATGTTACAGTATTTATTACCACCAAGAATTTAAGGAAGGCTGCAAATGGCAACCCTATGTAATATTTTTTCCTTTCCCACTATTTTACCGAGTAGCTTGATGGTTGAGAGCTAGGATTTAGCACAATTATTTTGGTAGCATTCCCTGAAGATAAAGCAGCTGACCCCTCTTCCTGGTCAAAGTGCTTGGATTATGCTTCCCCAAACATATGACCGACCTCTAAATAACCAGGCCCTTTTCTGGTGTTTCCATTCTCACCTTGTGGGACTCCAACCAGTTCTGTTATACTGCTTAGTGAAAAAACAGGAAATCCAATCATTCCTGGCTCACCACCTTCATCCTCATTTCCCACTCATACTAGTATACTTTGGCTGTAGCCACTTGGGTAACCAGCTGCAGTGCAAACTTATTTTGTACTTTCACACCTCTGGGCCTTTTCTGATGCTGATCCTTCAGTCTAGAATTCCCTTATATATCCTTTACATCCTGTCCATCACTTAGAGCTCAGTTTCTCCGTGAAGCATGTGCCCCCATTACTTTTTTTTATTTCTTTTTAACGTTTATTTTTTTGAGACAGAGAGAGAGCATGAACAGGGGAGGGTCAGAGAGAGAGGGAGACACAGAATCTGAAACAGGCTCCAGGCTCCGAGCTGTCGGCACAGAGCCTGACGCGGGGCTCGAACTCACAGACTGTGAGATCATGACCCAAGCCGAAGTTGGACGCTCAACGGACTGAGCCACCCAGGCGCCCCACATGTGCCCCTATTCCAAGACGTCTCAAACTAAGCTGTAATCCATGCTTGCTCCTTCCGTATTTATACCATATGTTAATTGACCCTACATTAGGGCAACTATTCCCATCTAACTTATATGAGTCATTTTTAATGAATAGGGTTAAAAAAATTATTTGAATGGCAGATGGTGTCAGAGAACGTACTTATGCTTGAGATTCTGACAGACTTGTGTTCAAATACTCCTCTCTTCCATTTGTTGCTCCCTGATTTTGAACAGGTAAATTCACTTCTGTGACCCAGTTTCCTTATCTGTAAAATGAGGACCATTAAGAGTAGCTACCTCATAGCTAACATTAAGTGTTTTAATGTGGGGCAAGTGAAAGTACCAGAAATTGCCTTGTACATAGTACATGCTCCATAAAGGTTAGCTCTCATTATTATCACCGTTGTTTGAACCTACCCCAGAATGTAAGCTCCATACAGAAAGAGGTAATCATTATGTTTGTCCTCTGCTGTATCCCTAGTACCCAGCACTGTGCCTGACGTGGTATGTACTCAAGAAATGTCTGCTGAGTGTGTGGATAAATTAATGAAACCATAAAATAATTCTCATTGTTAGCATCCTCTTCTTCGTCTTTGAATCTTCTGTTAACGTGGCGCTTTTTACCTCACAGAAAAACTGATGTCATTGAACATCTCTCATTCCTTGTTAATTCTGCTTTACCTCCGTTTGTTGCCGCTTTCTTGAATTCTCGGCTCTAAAATGTTTGAATCCAGCAGCAACCACTTCAACCACCCTAGTCTTCCTGGCAGCCCTAGTGGGCAGGAGTAGGGGACTGGAAGCGGGGCGTGGCCACCATGCCGCAGAACCAGACTGCGCCTGCGTAGGCTGCGGCAAAACTAGGCAATGAGAAGCTAGCGGTCATTTGCTCACTTGTTGTGTAGAAAGATCGCTTCTCTCTCCAGCTCTCCCTCCTGATCCCGGGTCTCTGGCTTAGGATTTGTGCTGAGGCGCCGACTCCTACCATCCTCTCTCTGACAGATTGCTGATTTCCCCGTTCCTGCTGCTGACTCCTGGAACCATGTCTCTGGTAAGCCAGAACGCGCGCCGCGGCAGCGCAGAGACCACTGCAGATTACGGCGACCGTCAGGGTGAGATGCAGGCTAGTGACGCCTCTGGGTCTCCGACCTCCATGCTTGTTCCCCAGGCCCTCCAGGGCCCTCATGCGCTAATCAACCCTCAGGATGCCAGCGCTTCCCAGACTGCGCAGGACCCGAATGACCTCGAGGTCCTAATTGAAGAGCAGTCCCAACGTTTGGGGGCGCTCAGGGTCCACGACCCTCTAGAAGACAGGTCAATTGCTTTGGTGAATTTCATGCGAATGAAAAGCCAAACCGAGGGTTCTATCCAGCAAGCAGAGATGCTAGAGTTCCTCAGAGAATACTCAGATCAGTTCCCTGAGATCCTTAGACGAGCCTCAGCCCACCTGGATCAGGTCTTTGGGTTGAACCTTAGGGTTCTTGATCCCCAGGCTGACATTTACAACCTAATCAGCAAACGGGGTTTCCAGACCACTGATCGCATAACAGAATCCTTGGATGTGCCAAAGGCAGGTCTCCTGGCCTTGGTCCTAGGCCACATCCTTCTGAATGGCAACCGGGCAAGAGAAGCATCCATTTGGGACCTGCTGTTAAAGGTTGATTTGCTGGGTGATCCCCAGAGGATCAACAACCTCTTTGGGAACACAAGGAACCTGCTCATTACTGACTTTGTGCGCATGCGGTTCTTGGAGTACTGGCCAGTATATGGCACTAATCCCCTCGAATTTGAGTTCTTGTGGGGCTCTAGAGCCCACATGGAAATCACAAAGATGGAAGCCCTGAAGTTTGTGGCAGAGGCCCATGATGAAGAACCCTGGAGCTGGCCAGAAGAATATAACAAGGCCCTGGAAGCTGACAAAGCCAAAGAAAGAAGACAGGCTGCTGGCTTGGAATTCTGGTCAGAGGACACTATGAACGATAAGGCCAATGATTTGGTCCAGTTGGCCATTAATGTCACTGAGGAGTTGCTGCCTATACATCAGGATGAGCTACTGGCTCACACTGGCAAAGAATTTGAGGAAGTGTTCCCAAATATCCTCAGTCGAGCTACTCTAATCCTTGATTTGTTCTATGGATTCTCTCTGATTGAGGTTGATACGAGTGAGCACATCTACCTCCTTGTCCAGCAACCAGAATCAGAAGAAGAGCAAATGATGTTAGACAGCCTGGGGAGACCCACTCAAGAATATGTGATGCCAATTTTGGGTTTGATCTTCCTGATGGGCAACCGCGTCAAAGAGGCCAACATTTGGAACATGCTTCGTAGATTTGGTGTGGATGTAGGGAGAAAGCATGCCATCACCTGCAAGCTTATGAGACAGCGCTACTTGGAATGCAGGCCACTGTCCTACTCTAATCCAGTTGAGTATGAGCTTCTATGGGGTCCTCGAGCTCACCTTGAAACTACCAAAATGAAAGCCTTGGAGTATATGGCCAGGCTGTACAGAAAGCGACCACAGGACTGGCCAGAGCAATATAGGGAGGCTGTTGAAGATGAGGAGGCCAGAGTCAGATCTGAGGCAACTGCCATGTTCTTCTTTGGCCCCATGTGATATCTGGGAAAATGTATCACATTAGTTGGGTGTCATCAGTTATAGGTGCCCTGGGGAAATGGGCACTGGGGCCCCAAATCACAAGTCAGTCAGGGCTGGGGTGGAATGTACACATTGTGTTTGCTATTTGTGTTCTCTTTCTAATAGTATTCCCTCCCTTACGATATACCCTTGAATTAGGTTCATGATCAATGTTTATAAATGAAATTGCTCATTTGCTATCCCTGTCTTGTTTTAATATAAAACTCAGATATCTGTGTAAATTGTATTGGTAACGTTTACATCTTTCTATGATGTGGAAGAGAACATATAAATGTTCTTTAATTGTTTAAAATAATTAGTAAAATGTTGTGGTGCAAAAGTTAAGTAACAATAGTAACAACACACACACAACAAAATCAAACACAATATCACTGATCTGTGGATGCCTTCTTTGTGTCTACTGTTGTGTAAGAAAAAAATTGCTGGCATTTACCTGTATTTGCTTTGCTGTTCCAAATATAGTGAAAAATATAAGTATAATGAATTAGACACCATGCTTAAGGATTCTTTTATTCAACGAACATTTATTAAGCACCTGCCATGCTCAGAGCACATGCTTTGTGCTGGGAATATAAGGGTGAAGAAGACCCAGCTGAACCCAGGGCTTAAGGGGAAGGGGCCACTGAAGTAAACCAGAAAATGTTTTATTGCTGTGGTAATATAGTAGGGGTAAGCTCAGAGTGCTAGGAGAGACCACAGTAGTAACTTCCAACTAAACTGTAGGTGCTGGGAGGGGACAGTGGAGAAGGCAATGGGGCACAAGAAGGGCTAGGGAAGGGGCAGGGGTGTCCAGCAAATGATTAGTGGGGGAGTGGGGGAGGTGGTGGAAGGGGAGTATGAGGTGCTATGTAGGGCTGAGGGCAAATTCTCCTTTAGTGACTTCTAAGACCTGAGATTGGAAAGGAGGAGGGAGGGATTGTTGATGAAGTCAGGGGCGGTATGTAAAAACACCTTTTGGGGGATTCAGAAAGACTGTTGAGTTCAAGGGGGAAGTGGGAGAGGGAAGCCTGGGGCAGAGATAACAAAGACCCATATTCTCAGAGAGTGGGTCTTGGGAACCAATAATGATTCTCCTGAAGGCAACTGGTCTTGGATCTTGGGTCAGACCGAACAATCTACTTGAAGCTCTACCCAGCAATCTCTGCCACTGCAGTTTACTTCCGCATCCAAGCTGTTAAGGTGAGTACTTTGGCTCTCTTCATCCTGATCCTTCAGGCAGACTCTAACCCTGCTCACAGCTGTCCCTAAGCTTTCCCCAGAGAGCCTGCAAAAAACAATTTCTGTAAGGGAGCCCTGGCTCAGTAGTGGATATTATATGGAAAGTCATCTATTACGCAGGGGTGGGGGAGTTGCCCGCCAGTGGTTTAGGTTTTATGTTTCCTCACCACCTGACACCCATAAGCTTTCTGCCCTTTCATCCATTTAATCATTAAGGGCTACCCCAAACTGCCACCTCCTAACAAATGAGAGAAGACTTTCCTCACATTTAAGTCAGCCTCAGGAAGAGAATGACACAACTGTCTCGCCCGGGGGAGGGACAAAAAGAAGGAAGATATACCGTTTTGTTTCCAAATCCCCCCGCCTGCAGAAGTCAGATTAGAGCTGCCAGCTTGGGGAAGCCACTGCGCATGTCCACTCCGCGGTTGCCCGGGAGATACACCCCCACCTGGTCTCAGCGATGTTTCCTATCGTAACATTCCGCGAAAAACTGAACACTAAGGGCAGGATTTCTAGTAATGAGAAAATGAGTAACTAGAGAGCTAGAGCTAAAGGGGTTCTGGAAAATAGGCTGGGGGTGGAGTTGTGAGGCGGGAGAATATCTAACTCAAAATCTGGGATCTTGAAGTAGAGTCCTGCCTGTGTGCTGAGAGCTCTCATTCTTTAGCCTCCCTGGACCCTTAATATGTACATGCTTCTGGGGCGGGGAGAGGGGCAAGCAGATTATCGTTACAAGTTTTTTTGCTCTGATTTTTTGGGTTAGTGCATTTTCTGGATGTCGAGAACATAAGCTCTTCTGGGGATACGAGTAGAGAGAAACCTGTCAAGGGGAAGGTGTAGCATCTGGACCAACAATAGTGTAAAGTTGCCAAGTTTTTTAGTAATAAATTTGTGCCAGGCACTGTGCTGGGTCTTCACCTCCTTTAGCTCTAATCTTTCCACCAGTTCTCAAAGAAGCGTTTTAATAGCCTCATTTGACACTGTAGGAAACTGAGGCTTAAATCATATGCCAAAGGTCACGCAACCAGTCAGGGAATGTTGGGATTAGAGTCTAAGGCTGCCTTTGGCTACAGTTCACACTCTTTCCGGTGCACTGCATCATACTCCCCCTCCAGTTTGTGTTATGTTTTCATTCAAATTTATTGATTCTCAAGAAATGTAAGAAAGGGCTGCATGACAGGATGGGAGGGGCAAGACGATAGCCCTCTGGGGGAGGATGAAAGTGAGGCTGAAATTTCTCCCGGCTCTTCCTTGTTCCATCACCCAGGCTCCATGAGGACTGTCTAGGTGTAGAAAGCATAGTTTTGTCCAATCTCCCTACTCTATCCTGTGAGTCTTCCCCAATTTGCCCTATTCCTGAAAGCTTTCAGCCTAATCTGTTTTCACCCAGGGAAAGTCAAATGTCACCTTTTGTGGACCTATAGAAATTTTTGGCAATGTTTTTTGTAATCCTGAAAGAACAATGACCTGACAGAGCTCATGCCTTGCCCAGGGGAGCTCAGGATGCAAAAACAGAAGTGGGAAATAGCCCATGTCACAGATGCCAAATGCAGTTTCCCATAAGTAATAAAGGTGAGACTTGCATGGAGCACATGCCTATGGTGAGGGAAAGCATGTAGTCTCTCTGTGGCTACAGCCATTTCTTTGAAAGCCATGAGAGGCCTGGGTACTCTCCTTTCTACACATGCCATATTAGAATTAGCACTCCCTAGGAGAAACACTAGTGGTGGAAGTGAGTGTCTGGTAAACAAGTCTTACAGAACATGCTGCATGAATTAATTCAATGTACAATCACCCTTAAGCTTTTAAACACTGAACCAAATATCCCTCTTCTCTGTGTGAATTAATTTGAAAAATGGTACAGCTTGAGTTCATTTGCAGACTCTTTGGGCCATCAATATCAAGTATTGAAACATTGGCCAAGTTAGGGCTTGCAGAATGGGTGTTGGTTAGATATGGGTTCATCATCCAACATATACATTGCCATTCAGATTCCCCTTTGATCCTTCCTGGAAATAAAACATTGAGAATACATTTACTTTCAGTTGCTGAGGCCCAGGAGTGTCCTTTTTTGGAGAAGATGGGTGGTTAGGGAAGACTTTTCCTGCCTTCTCTCCATCAGTTTCTGTATACACACTCAAGCCATCACAAATGAGCGTTACAATTCAAGGAAAAGCTGAGCTGGACTGGCATATATGGACTTCGAGGCAATTCTATCAGCCCTAGAATTGCTGCCTGTAGACCCTCTGATACCAACAATCTAGACCAGGCTGTAAGTATCCTTTAGGGTCAGAAAAGAACCCCACAGTCTCCTCCTACCTTCCTAGTGGGGATCTCCAGACAGTGAGATTTTCTCACTCTACATAGTTTCTCTTCCCCCTCAATGAGTACTCAGGAATGTCTTAAGGAATTCTCTCCAGACAGAGTTTGAGGCTAGTTTTAAAGAAATTTGAAAAAGAATGATCAGAGTGGGCCCTGGCTCCCTCAGACATTTCTGTTCCAGGCCTCATGTAAATACTCTAAGCACATAATAAGGAAAGTACAGTATATCAGAATAATTATGAACTCTGGATCTGGCCAGTGTTGGCTCTCTCACTTCCTGGCTGTGTGACTTTGGACTGAACATCTCTATCTAGACTACTTAAAGCAATTTTCAAGAAATTGATAGAAAGCCCAGGGTCACACACTTACTATTTGATGATGTCAGCACTATAACCCAGGCCAATTATATATTCGTCTAGTGATATTTCAGTTCTACACACTGCTTTTAAGACTACTTGTCAACATCTTGGTAGCTGAGTTCAAATGAATATAGAGTTCTTAGAATTACTAGCATTGTTTTTTTAAGCAATTATTTTAGGTGAATATTAGACCCAGGCTAATTATAAATTATGAAGTTTAGCTGCGTTAATAACATATCCTTTGCAAACACCCATCCACAAGACACTTTTTAAGGGGCTCCTGTGTGGTCTCTTCAAGCAGGCCTCAGTGACTTTTAAGGAATTATCTGTTTTATATACCACTCAGGGAGTCCTGAACAGTGAAGACAACTTCTCTCATAAAAGGGCAGGGTTAGGAAGGGAATTACGAGCCAAAGCCTGATGTCTGGGCAGCCTTATTTCTTATTTTATTTTATTTATAATTAAAAATATTTTTGATGTTTATTTTTGAAAGAGAGAGAGACAGAGCACAAGTAGGGGAGGGACAGAGAGAGAGAGAGAGAGAGAGAGAGAGAGAGAGAGA